GAGCTAGAAATTGTCCAGTTTTGTTTTGTGGACGCCTCTGTTATCACTTAAAAAGGAACAATGTATAAACCATTCGCTGCATGAGTATTTTTTTTTTTATTTAATTCATAACAAAATTAAAGTGGTGTTTTATTTATTTTATATTTTTATTTGATAAATTATTTTTGGGAGGTGGGTCGGGAACTTATTTCTCCACGGAGCAGATGTATTAAAAAAAAAACAACTTTATTACATAATTTAAAACAAGAAGCTAACAAAACTTTCAAATATCAAAACATTTGTTAACAAAAATTACATTTTTATGACTGAATATAAGTTTCGTACGATTCTGTCTGTTTTCGTTCCCCGCAATAAAAACCACAAATTCTTTGTGACTCTTAAAAAGAGAAAATAATAATAATAATAATGATAGTAATAAAAAAAATTATGAGAACACATATTAAACATTTGTTACTTTTTTTTTTTTTTTGCATGATAAAATTTAGGACTCATTTTGTTCTATACACACACACTTTCGTGCAAGCCAGTCCTAATGTAGTGAGTTCGATCCCACTGGGTGCTTCACACTTCTGTTCCGGTGATATTCTAAACCAGGCTTAGTAGAATATCTAAAGCAAAGTGTGGTGGAGTTATTATTAGGTCGTCTGTTCAACCAGTTCGATACCCAATAATTGTGACCAACCATAATTAAACCCAGGAAATATTGATTTTCTAAGTGCAGCTTAGATGTGGCACAAGGCTGAAAGTATGGGGTACCCAGTGAAGATCGAACTCACTACTCAGTCGTAACTGTTTTAGCGAGACAAGCTTGCTAACCATTAAAGATTTTCCAAGCGTAGCTTAGATGTAGCACAAGGCCGATAGCATGGGGCATCCAGTGAGGATCGAACTCACTGTTCAGTAGTAACTGACATAGCAAGACAAGCTTGCTAACCATTACACCACGCCAAGGTGCCCTTATAGTGATTTTCTAAGCGCAGCTTAGCTGTGGCACAAGGCCGAAAGTATGGGGCACCCAGTGAGGATCGAACTCACTACTCAGTTCTAGCCAGGCAAGCTTGTTAACCATTACATCGCCTCGAGGTGCCCTTATTTTCCAAGCGTAGCTTAGATGTGGCACAAAATTATGGGGTACCCAGTGAGGATCGAACTCACTACTCAGTCGTAATTGTTCTAGCAAGACAAGCTTGCTAACCATTACACCACCTCGAGGTGCCCAAATGATTTTCTAAGCGCAGCTTAGATGTGGCACCCAGCGATGAACTCACTATTCAGTCGTAACTGTTTTTGTGAGACAAGCTTGTTAACCATTACACCACGCCGAGATGCCCAAATAAATTCAAGAAATATAATGGGATGTTAAAATTTCTCGTTCCGGTACATTTCCAGATTTGACCAAACCTTAGATTGTTTTTCATTTTTTCTGGGGGTGGTGGCGGGAATCCCTTTTTTTTTTTGGCTGGTGCGAAAACTTTTCAGTACTCTCTCAGACTATTTCTGTCCCATAATAGTTGTTACATTTGAAAACACATTTCATGCACTAAACGTCGCAACTATTATGAGCCAGAGACAGTATTTCGAACTGTGCTGTGAAGTAAGCTGGTCTCTCTTTTCTGTTTAACACTGTAAGAGTTTGATTCTAACTGCGTGCTCTGTGACTTTGTGTCATTCTAAATTAAACTTAATATAAATGCAAAAATAAACACATTTAATAAAAAACGGTGATTTTAAGAAACAAAAACTGTTCTTTATATTAATTTAGGATGTGACACAAGGTCAATTTTAATGTGCGCAGCCTATACGCGTACATTTGAGCCATGGACAAAAATTGTCGAATCCTCGTGACCACTGTCACACTAGCATCGATATTGCTATTTTTTTAGCGCAACCTGGAAGGTGTTGCTGCAGGTTTGTAAACCCCGAGACCAGGCGCCTTCTCCTGTGTAAAATGAAGAGAACAGATACTACGCATTGATCCCGACCCGAAATTCGAGGAATTATTATCTGTTTACCTGAGCCTCCTCACTAAGGCAGGCGGTAACACAAGATCTTTTTTTTATGTGGGGGGCACCCATACGCATGCATATGGGCTAGGGACAAAAATTGCTCAGTCCCCGCAACCACTTTCACGCTGACGCCGATACTACATGGACGTCACCTCTGTTCGTGCATAATTAGGGAGGTGCTGCCACAGGGTTGTAATCCCCGGGACCAGATGCCTTCTCCCTTGTAAAATGAGAAGAACAGATACTACGTACTGATCCTGACCCGAAATCCAAGAAACGTTATTATTAGATATTTACCTCGCTTGGCGCCGATATTACACCGACCCCACATCAATTCGTGTAGAATTAGTTACAGTGTTGCCGCAGGGTTGCAGGTGCCTTATCCCTTGTAAAACAAGGAGAACAGATACTACATATTGAACCAGACCCGAAATTCGAGAAACGCTATTTTTTTTATTTTTTTTTGTTAAAATACAAAATTGATGTCACTTTTAATTTTATTCTTTCTCTCGTTTGCATATCGAAAAACGCATAAAAAATACGGGAAAATCAAATGATATACAGTGTAACCCCGATATAAGAGAGTTGTCGAGACCGGAGAAGAAGTCTCTTATATCCGGGTTTCTCTTATATCCGGGTTTGGTCTATTTTATATACATTAACACAGGCTCTAATTTGGGACCAGAGAAAATCTCTCTTATATCCGGGTTTCTCTTATATCCGGGTTTGGTCTATTTTGTTTAGGTAAGTATGGGCTCTAATTTGGGACCAGAGAAAACCTCTCTTATATCCGGGTTTCTCTTATATCAGGGTCTCTTATATCCGAGTTACACTGTATTAAAAAAAAACCAAAAAAACACCTGTTAGTAATTTTTTTTATTTATTTTTTTTTTCGTTTCTGACATTTTTCGTTCAGTGAGACACACGAAGGAGGAAAAAAGAGCAAAGAAATCGTTTTGCGCAAAAAATAAATAAATAAAAATAAAGCAATTGTTACGTATTCTTTCGAAACAGTTCATTTTCTTTTTCTTATTTTTCTCAAATTCTTTCTCTTTCTTTCTTTTTCATTATGAACTCTTTTTTTTTCGTTTAGTCGCTTTCCTATCGATCTTTCATTGCATCTTTATTTTTCTTTATGCATGTTATTTTTTTTTCTTAATCTCTTTAACTTTTCTCGTTTTCTTTTTCCCTTTCGCGCAATTCCCTAACCCCGTCTCTCTTTCTTTCTCCCCGGTCTCTTTATCCCCACTTCTTTCTTTTGCATTCCCTACCCTGTATTTTCGCGTGTTTGTTTCCAACTTTTTTCTCCTATATCTCGCTGTCGACCCACCACATCCCGCAGTTGTCCACTCACCCCTGCCGTCAAAATCTGTCGAGAAGTCGGAGATAGAAAATAATATCTAATAGTAGGAAGAGGTGTTAGAGACATAACGGTAGGAGGGAAAAAAGTTTTGTAAAAGTAGGAGTGACATTCAGTTAGAGGGACGGAGGAGACCGGGGTCTGGAGATAGCCAACCAACTTTGCTAACGGCCAGCCAGGCTCGACTTATATATAAACTCCGACGACAACAAACTCACACAGTTTCACATCACACCACGGTAGGTGTAATATGTTTATTTTGCTAATTCTCTTCAATTTCTCTATTTTTTCCTTCCACGAAAAAAAACTTTCTCTGAGGAGTAGAGTGAAGGATATTTTAAATATTTTTTTTTTATTTCTTTTCGTCCTCCAAAATAGTTTTTATCTGCTGCCACTACTTGTGTCATTTTTTTCTTGATAAGATTTCTAAACAAGTTGAATATATTTTTGGTCGTTCGCTAATTCAATATTTCCTTCTCTCTCTCTCTCACCTCCTCTTTCTTTCTCTCTCTTATTTCGTCTGCGCTTTTATTTTGTCATTTGAAAATGTCGCATTATTTATTTTCAAGTATTGCTTTTTATTGTTAGCTGTCACTTCTTGATTAAGGCTTTTTTTTAAAAGGTATAATGTTCGTTCACTTATTTAAAATCATATCTATGCATATATTTAATTTTTTTGTTGTTGTTGAAATTATCTATTTTTTAACTCTTCTTTAACAAACTTTTAAAAGTTTTTTAAAAATATTATCAGAAGAACTTTTTGCGGGGAAATGAATTTATAAATAATAATTTATGCATATTAAATTTTAAGTTTAAAATGAAGAGAAAAGATAGTTAACTATTAATTATATATGCGCGGTTTTGAAAAGCATGAGTTCACTTCTCCCTCCAGCTATCGTTTAAATAGAAGAGTACCGTGATCTTTAGCCTTGGGTGGTAGCCAGTCTAAGAGAAGGATTACTCCGTATTCAAAACCATGTAGAAAGCACTCCACTATTTTCCCCAAATAGTATGCCGATTCTCAGATACTAAAGGAAAAGAAATCGGTGGAGAATCATGATTGCCAACGTCACTGAGTATCATGGCATTATATATACATATACATACACACACATATATATATATATATATATATATATATATATATGTGTGTGTGTGTGTGCGTGTTTAATAATATATGATGTATATCAGCGTGGACAGTTATTAATGCGTGTTTTCTGGCAGTCTCATACCTTAAGTAATTAGATCATACATACACGCACCTGGACATGTGTACGAAATTATTCTAATAGGGCTTATATGATCAAACTTATATATAAAATCGACCTTTTGTAATAAATGAGATTTTAATGAATGGAAAGAATTTGACAAATGTTATTTTAAGTAAAAAAAAAAAAAAAAAAAGAAAAAAAAAGAAACTCCTGTTTGCTTGCGACAGAAAAAAAGGGACCTAGGAATTTATGGTCAGTCCTATCTTTATCGTTTGATGAATGGTTATTACCCACTTAATCGTGTAACGCTGCATAAGAAAGGCGTATCCAATATATTCATTATTTTCCACCAAAAAGGGACTTAGATACATTTTCACCCTTCTACGAATCTCTATTGCCCCCGTGTAAGGTTTTATACTTCAGATGCATCTCTGCAGAAGAAAGGTGTGTCCAATATACGCGCGTTACATTGCACCAAAGCGCCAACCTCTTATCTACCAACCAACACACTTTAAGGAAAACCTTTTCTTTCTTTCCTTTCTGTTTCTAATCTGTTCAGCGTGCATTGCATATTGTTGAACATTTTCATGTTGTTTCTATTTATAAATTTTGTCATTATTATACATTATTATCTTGAAGTATTTTTACGCTTTTCTCACACTGAAAACAATTCCTGTCACTCTCAAAACCTTTTTATTTTTCTACGAGAGAAAAATAGTCAAGCAGTTTGCTAATGGCAACCTATCAATATCCGATGACTGTGGAAACAATATATGCAAAGGACATAATTGCTTACAATTGGATTCATTCTATTTAGCCCTAGTCTCGTTGAATTGATCAGGGCTGAGATTAAACGAACTCTCAATCGAAGGAAGAATTTATTCTACTTATTTATTAAAAATCTACAGCTCCGGGTATTATCAACTGATCGCCCATTTGATATTATCCAAAACTAGTGTTGCTTAACCGAAAAAAATGTGTCACTTTCGCTAATATATTGATCTTCAAAAGTTGCAAATCTGCTTTTATGGTGGATTTTGCATACGCCTTTTGACTAGACCATCCGGGTCTACTGCTATGTGAATTACCAACTGTTGTCAGTACGTCTTTGGTGGATTTTACAAGCATACGACGACTGGCTAAATTGAAAGACAGCTTTTATTTCGGATTTTATGCAGAATATTTATTTTATTTTATTTTTGTAAAAATGTCTTAGCGCAGAAATAGTGAACTTTACCAGTTTCTCCGGGCAGATGGAATTTTGTATCATTTTCATTTGACACACCCGAAAAAAAGGGAAAAGCCTATATTTGTGGAAGACTTCAACAGCTCTTGAATTACAGCGGGGACAAATTTGTCTTCTCTTCAAGAGTTAGACTGGACTAAACATTTTTTTTTCAAGATATTTTACAGGACATTTGCATTGACGTTCGAAAAAATAGCAAAACCTTCATTTGAACTCCAAACGCTTCCTTGCTCTCTGACGACAGAGAACACCACTACAAACTTGAACCCCCTCTTACTAAATAACAAAACTAGCACGATGAATTTGCAGTTGAATTATCAACCAGCGGTGCTACTGGTCGGTGTTCGAACCTAACTAAAAATTTCAGTATTGATTTTCTAGTAAGGCAAACCCTCTTTATTTGAAAAATAAGTGTAGCACGGTCTTCATCATCTGTCTGACTTGTAACTATCAACATATATGTTTATTTATTTTTCTCAGTCTGTACACGAGTACCTAGATGGGAATGATGGTTGACAATCTAGTCTGGTAGACTATTATTTAATGCAATGACTTATAACTTCATGAGTGCTCCTTATAGTTTCCTTGTGTCAGACTTAGGTAAGCTTAATGGCTATTTATCTATATAAGATGGCGGCGTTATAAATCCACAAACTGCCATGTTATTGATGACATGGAATTTTTCACTGTATACTATTCAATCGATATGATTAATACTTACCAATGAATTAACTGCATTGAAAATGAGTGGAATTATACTGAAAACTAAATAAAAGGGCGTGGCAGGAATACCTCCCCAGAAATACCTCCTACATAATGTCAATGGTGTCTTCATCTAATTAATGTCTTACGATTATGCGGGTGGTATTTCTGGGGAGGTATTTCTGTCTCATCGTGTATTTGGTGTATAAAAATAAATGCTGGAGAATATGAAGGTTAGTTCCATGTCCATTATTGTGGGCGTTCTGGGATGAAATTGGAAATTCGTCTGAAAAACGAAATTCCCTGCGTACGGTGATATTGAAAAAATATTTCAGGTTTCATGCCTTTCCTATATCTTTAACCCCAACATGAGGCTACGTTTGACACAAATAAATAACTAATATGGACCCTAGTGTGCGTAAATGCGACTGATGACCGGAATTATCCTATCCTCTCGTATTTTCCAGTTTTGGAACTCCTTCCGCATCAGTTCTTGCAGTTTTATGCAAGAATATTCGGTCATGTTTCAAGCACACTTCTAATAATGAGTATAAATTAATAATCAGGGTCTACGGGAGGAGGACGTGCAGACATGGGGTACATTGTGTTCTAGGGTTCAAAAGTCAGTATTGCATTTCTTGTGATTCCAGAAAATGTTTCTACGCTCTTAAGATGAGCATTCGCATTGACCTTACAGTTCATAGCATCTGACCATAATCAATCAAAACAGTCTGAATAATAGAGAAAGGAAAGGGGATCCGAAATGGACTATCCCATCAAAGTTCCATAAAGTGGCCGATAAAATAGGAAAAAAGTAAAAATCTCTAGTACTTTGTACAAATCACCCAATTAAGTACGCAACTTCCTCGACCACTAATCAGGCACCTAGTTGATATTTAGTATGTTCTGTTTTGTTTCAATCAGGAGTGAGGAAGAATGTGTTACCCCAGGGAAGACAGTTTGTCTATCTCAGGGAAACTTTATATTCAAAATACTTTAAAGTTGGTAGGTTGGAAAAATTAATGCAAAATTAATTTGTATTCGCAACAAAAAAAAATAGTGGGAGGGAGGGTTAAATAAACGAACAGGTTGGAATAGAGAGATTGGGAAAAAATGAAAAATAAAATAAATTGGTGTATGGAAAAGAAAAAGAAAATTTAGTCAGCTGGTTTTTCAAATAAAGGTACCGTCTGGATTAGACATGCCGGTCGGAATTATTTTTTATTTTTTTTTTTTTTTTTACTAAAAAATAATAGGAGTATATGTTTAATCTGGAATAAAATAAACTTGTCGTAGAAAAAATAATTGTTTGAAACTGGGAATTACACAACTACATAAGGGTTTAACTAAGTTTGGTACAAGGCCAGAGTCGGAAAATTTTGTTGGGGCAAGGGACAAAAGTCAGAATGTGTTAAAACTCAGTATATAAATAATCTGTGGGTACTTGATAATTAGGCTTTTAAAATGTGCATTTTTAAAAGTATATATAAAACGATAATTTGATTCTACTATAATCAGCAGAGCCCATTCGGATTACCATATGAGAAGTCTTGTGACACTTTATATTAAGTCTAAACAGCCTTCTCTCCATAAGCAAAAGGAATGGCCGTTGGATCTAAATATAATCTGATTTTTATAGTACTTATTCTTTAGTAATATATATATTTTTCTCTTCTTTTTATAGTCGTTGTGCTCATATTTACATTTTTGTCCTCGATTGGCGAGGTGCAATAACTAGTGAGCCCTTTTTTGTTGTTATATATATATTTTTTTTTGTTGTTATATATTTTTTGATCCACCATTTTACAGTGAGTAATAATTTTTATTATCCTTCCACCACATTGTTTTATATATTTTTGCATATATTTATACATACTTTTTAAAATATCCGTTTAAAAAAAAAAACGGAATTATAAATTCTGATTTTATTTATTTATTTTTTTTCAAAGTTCGAAATTAACCAAGTGGCTACAGGAAATATGATCTTAGTTGTCTAGCAGGTCTTTAGTCCCACTAGATACGTACGGATGTCGTTCAATTCAAAGCAATAACATACCATTTTTTATTACTTTTATGTCAACTCTACGTTTATATCTATCATTTCCACCCTCTCTCACTCTGGCCAAATTATAGATTCGTATAAAACCCTCACGTAAACGGGTTTTCACCTACACTCCATAAGATCGGGGGTGGTTTAAGGCAACCCGTGACTGCATGAGAAAAATGCATACCTACTGTACATGTATACATACGTATTTATAGATTACCTATACACTCCTCTTTCTCTTCTTCATTTAAAGCAATCTCTTTCCTTATTTTTTTCTCTCCCTCTCTCTTATTACACATTACTCTTTCTTTCACTCTTATTGCCCTCAAACGAGCATTCGCTCACCGTGGTCTGGTTATAGATCTACATAGAACCATAGCATAAAACAGGTTTTCAAAGCCCCACCCTAAAGTCGGGGGTGGCTTAAGGCAAGCCGTGGCTGTAAGCGAGGGAAAAATGCATACCTATGATACGTATGTACATAAGTGTACATATATTAACTGTCTCTCCTTTTCTTTTCACAGTCTCTTTAATTCTTACTTTGTGACTTCTCTCACGCACACACAGCCATTTCTCTTTCCTCCTCTCAGGCCGCCTCCATACGCCCATTCAAAAAGCCGATCCTGGAATTTTGAAAGAAATCAAACATACACTCTGAGATATTATAAATAATTAACTTTGGTTAGTCTGGCTCAAGGCAACACTATTTGATCTCTCAGCAAGAACTGAACTTACTAGCAATGTCCTGCAAATTGAACTTTGTAATAATCATTGTACAGTAACCGAGTGTTGCGTATATTTATTATCGCTATCATAGTCTGACACAAGGCCACAATTGGGAAGCATACAGTAGAACCAAACTAACTAAAAATAGCCTGCAAAATTAGTTTCTTTAATTATCGCTTTGCAGCAAACACTCTTAAGATATTTTCTAAGCTAAGTTTAGTTTCGCACACAAGAGGATTCAAACTGTAAGAAATGGCTTGTGAAATGTGTCTGCAAGCATCGGTTAACTGAAATCAGCTGTTTTTCTATGTATCTTGTCTCTTCAGGACGTGGGCGATAATGACTCTCCACAAGCTCCTATCCTTTGTAGCATTTTGTAATATTTATCTTTTTCGATATCCCTCCCAGTTGCTGTTTTTCAATTAAATTTACTAAAACTCGTATTCATTTGGGAAGATGATTACTGGCTAGTCGATACTAGCAATGGATACAGTTGTTATTTTAATTGTGTCAAAGAAAAGACAGAACCTGGTTTATGGTGATTTTTCTAAGAGCAGCTTAGGTGTGGCACAAGGCCGAAAGTATAGGGCATCCAGTGAGGATCGAATACACTATTCAGTCGTAATTGATCTACTGAGATAAGCTTGTAAAACATTACACCACGTAGGAGTGTCCCATTCTTTTTCTTTTTATTCTGCTTCCTTTTGTTTTTCTTTTTTTTTTTTCCTTTCATGTCTTTTTTTTCCTTTGCTTTCACACTTTTCTTTTGATTTCACCCTTTTTTTTTACTCTCACCCTTTTCTTTCTTTCTTTTACTCTCACCCTTTTCTTTCTTTCTGTTTACTCTCACCCTTTTCTTTCTTTCTTTTTACTCTCACCCTTTTCTTTCTTTCTTTTACTTTCACCATTTTTTTTCTTTCTTTTTACTCTCACCCTTTTCTTTCTTTCTTTTACTTTCACCATTTTCTTTCTTTCTTTTTACTCTCACCCTTTTCTTTCTTTCTTTTTACTCTCACCCTTTTCTTTCTTTCTTTTTACTCTCACCCTTTTCTTCCTTTCTTTCTTTTTACTCTCACCGTTTTCTTCCTTTCTTTCTTTTACTCTCACCCTTTTCTTTCTTTCTTTCTTTCTTTCTTTCTTTCTTTCTTTCTTTTACTCTCACCCTTTTCTTTCTTTTACTCTCACCCTTTTCTTTTTACTCTCACCCTTTTCTTTCTTTCTTTCTTTTACTCTCACCCTTTTCTTACTTTCTTTTCCTTAAAATAATAAATCAAAGAAAATATCTGTTAAAGTTGATGTAATTTTCCCGAAAGAGTGAAAAGAAAAATTGAAAGGAAGTGAACCAGTGGAAAAAATGTCTGGACATTAAACTTTAAAAGTGGCAGAATGTAGATATGACAGTTGTGCCAGTTATTACCAGAGGACTTTGAACAGTCTCAAAATGACAACCGGGTTCGAATCCAACTATGGCTGATTTGTTAGGGAGAAGACTTCTTGATGTTATCGGGTCCGTTGGAAAGTGTCTGAAATCTGAACCACTTGTTGACCCAAACCTTGTAAGTGAAGGCTGATATGGGCGAAACTTCGAAAGCCTTCAATGTCGATGCTTGTGCCAATTCGAAGTCACAAATCTTCGTGATCGACTGTGTTTTCTCTCAGAAATTGTAACTAAGGTCTGTTCAGTTTGGTCAGTGGGTGATGAAGGACAAAATGTCAGTGCGGTTGTCTACAGCAGGAATTAGCAGCCATTTTGTATAATATCCCTTCTCTCCCTCTCTTTCACACACACACACACACACACACACATATATATATATATATATATATATATATATATATATATATATATATATATATATATATATATAACCCAGACTCCTTATCTAAACTGAGGCGTCCCTTAAGTGGCTCCATAGGTTTTCACCAACTCTAAACCAACTTCAAAAACACCATTTCAGACAGTCTTAGACTGGGGATAGCTGGCATATAGCAGTGTTAGCTTGAAATAGATTATACCCACATGAGGTAATATTGGATTTTTGCTGCATAATGTTTTTGTGGGTGGTGCACATATTGATTATGTGTTTGCATACGTGTAGCGGCGTATCTCTGTGTACTTATGTATGCGTGTGTTCACGTGCATACACATATGTATACATATGTATTTGTGTATGTGTGTATAGATACACATGCATGTGCATATTCATAGAAACCTATGCACGTGTTTGTATGTACGAAATTTCGTGCATATAGGTATCTATATGCCTAAACAAAGGCGCGCGCGCGCACACACACACATGGCAAGAGGAAAAACTATTTTTAGTCGACGCGTTTCGTTCTCCGTGGGACTTTATCAAGGCAATAAAGACTAAATGCGTCGGCTAAGAATAGTTTTTGCTCTTGTCTTTTTATTCATTTTAGTCCTTTACAAATACACTTTATCTGAAAATAATTTACATACACATTATTATTTCAAACGTTATTACAATGGATACTCGTATTTGAAATAAACGCCCCACTTTTATGACTTTAAACCGTGAATATTGCTTCTACTGGCCTCCGTGTTCGAAAAATTAAAAATTTCAAATTAAATATAAAAATCCATTATTTCTTTAACGATACGTTTGGCATGTATTTTAAAAATGTGTATGTATGTGTATATAGTCTAATTCGCTTTCGTTCAGTGTGAGAATGATAGCGAGATCTTAAGTGGGAATAAAACACTTTTATTCTACCCATTCAACGTCCCCATCCCCTGCGCAACTTGGATTATCCTTTTACAAAATAAAGGTAGCTAAATACACATGTAGATATATAAACTATTTTGTCTATCAGTGGATCACAGTCGTCAGCGGCCAAGAATTTCTCTTTCTCTTCTCTCTTATCTACTGAGGTAGGTTCTGATATGATTTGCTTGCCAAGACAAGAGAAGACCCCAAATGCTGCTAAAAATAGGGTCTTTTTTTTCTCTTATTTAAATTATCTACTGTATTTTTTCAGTAGACCGTCTCATAACACACCCCTCTTCGTTCTTCCTAGCGCAACCTCACCCCACCACACACGGCTGGCTGACTTGTCGGTCGGAGACGTTTACTGCTTAAGTAGGTGTTAAAGTGGGAGTATTTTTTTTTCTTTCTTGGAGTGTCTCCGATTGGGAAGGGATCCTGACAACATTCTGTTTTAACGTTTGTACCAACTTCCAATTTTCATCTTTGAAATTGTGTAATACGTAAAACAAAAACAAACAACAAAAAAAAAAAAATAAACAGGCATAGATAGATAGTAAACAGGCCGAGATAGATAGATAGATAGATAGATAGATAGATAGATAGATAGTGAACAGGCCGAGATAGATAGATAGATAGTGAACAGGCCGAGATAGATAGATAGATAGTGAACAGGCCGAGATAGATAGATAGATAGTGAACAGGCCGAGATAGATAGATAGATAGATAGATGTGAACAGGCCGAAATAGATAGATCTGTACAACTGTGATAGGGAGGTAGATAGACATGTACGTACTGCAGTTGACTATACTGTGTAAATACAAAGAGTGGTGTTAATTTTATTAATCATATTTGTAAAACAGACTTTGAATTTGAGCATCATTTGAATTTGAGGCTTGAATACCGATTACAAATGCTTAAGTCAAAGGCACAGCTGTCTCAACTAAAAACCTAGTCTAATAAGTGTTCGCTAGTTGAATGACAACGCCTGCTACTGTGTTGTCACTTAATCACTTCTCTCTCGCTGGTGGCTAACGCGTATAAAACGTTGGCGTTTTGAGTGGCACAATTTGGTGTATCATATCATGGAAGACAAGATTACAATTTATTGAAGTATTGTCTTCAGTCAAGAAGAAAGTTGCTAAAATCACCATGGATTAACTATGTGAGAAACTATGAACTGTTAAGGTAAAGAGACTCTTGAAATTTCTGTGATACAAATCGAGGAAACCTGACTTGGAAAATTTGACACTCACAAGAAATATTAAGGACGAAATTGATAACTTGAAAAAAGCTAGTAACCGAACGATCTTGTATAAATCGATGGCAGAACAAGGACCAAGAGGAACAGTAAGGAGATTTTAAACTACAATGAATAGGAAGTTGTGAAGAGGTGTATTCGCCCACGTCCTGAAGAGACACGGTATAGAAAGAGTCTTTGTCGGATAAGAAAACAAACATAATGAGGAAAGAAAGCCTGGAAATTTTAACACTCACAGATGATATTGATAGACATGGGATGGCAGCGAATAACCTAATTAACTCGCATATATAAATGAATGGCTGAATAAGGAGTTGAAGCGATAGTAATATTTTTCTTTTTATAAGAGATAGGAAGTTGTGGAGAGTCACGATCGCCTACATCCTGAGGGAACATTGCACAAAGAAGAATTCTTTGTCTCTCTATATATATATCGGCATACATAGTTAGTTATGTGCCATGCGTAATACACGTGTAGGCGATCATGTATCTTTCGATACATGACTAACGAGGCAGATTTTTTTTTCCCGCAGTAGGTTGCCATTTCTTTCTGCGGTAGACCAGTTGCCATACAAGTCCTGCTATTTACCCATAGCTAGGAGGAGAAGAGGATTCATACCTTTCCCAAGGGTGTTAGCAAGTGAATGTAATGACTGGAATTCGAACTCGGCTCTCCGATTCCTCAATCCGAGTCATTATCCATTACTCCACCGTGCCTCATAATACATACAATAAATTCATAGCCATAATCTCGGCATATTTTCGCAATAGTGGCAGCATCGACTGAAGATCGAATTTATGACACTAACTCGCTTACGATGATTAGATACCCAATTATTAAGGAGTAGAGGTTTATCACTTGTTCTCTGTTTAGGGTTGGATATCCGGTTTCTTTTAAAGTCAAGTCTATCCCCCAGAATCCTGAAATTTTACTTACTAATTATTTATTTATTTTTTCCTCCTCAATAGGAGTAGATAGGTTCGCCTATCGACTAGTTCACAGTCCTTCGCGGTCTTCTGAACAGGAGTAGAGGTTTATTCCTTGTTTATGACTTGGTTTGCAGTTCCTTCTAAACTATTTTCATTCTCGTTTATTCTCAGTAGTCCCCTTGCGTCTTAGTGGCATTATCGCCTTAAGTAAGGCGATAATGCCATTAAGACGGTGAACTGATTAAAAAAAAAATACGTTAAAAATCAGGTGGCTTTTTTTTTTAAATATAGGCCAATCCTTCGCTGTGTTTGACACGAGGCATATTAATATATTCTCATAATAATCTATTTGCACTATTTACTTCCTTACGTTCAAGCTTATAGCTATATCACGTTGAAACACCGGTTCATATAAGATCACCAAAATTAAGCAACGTCGAGCCTGGTCAGTACTTAGATGGGTGACCACTTGGGAATACCAGGTGCTTTAAGCTTGGATATGCGGGTGGTGTAATGGATAATGGCTCGAAATTGTGAATTCGAGAGCCGAGTACCAGTTCCCGTTGGGTTCGTTATATTCACTTAATAGCCCTGGGAAAGTTATGAATCCACCTATTCTCCCCCATCTATGGGTTAATTAGTAAGACTTTTATCGATAAAACCATTATTTTTTTTTAAATTCTTACAATCAATAAAATATTTTTTGGCTTTAAATAACATGTAAAAAGGAATTAATCAATCAATCCTTACGTTCATATAACAGCTTCGTTCAGTAACCCGCTAGCTTGAGTGGTCCTTGTATTGGGTCACTAAATGAGTAAGCTATGCTAACCAAGGTTACTAAAGAAAGGAAAGCCAATTTAATATTATAGTCTTTCAAATCTAAGCCCAGGTCGCTATTTGCAAGCCCTGTTGGGTAACAAGTTATGCAGTGATGTAAAATAAGAAATACTTTTCACGCTTATAATAAGCGTCTGTAGCAAGTTTAAACTGTGAGAAATAACTCGAGTGTTACTAACCACTTCTTTCCCGTCCATGTCTTCCATGAGAATAATGGACCTTGGTTTATGGCATAAACCTCATGCAGACATATGTATCAACTCAACACTGGTCGCACCCACCCACTCAGTCGAATCCACATATTTTCTCTTTATTCATAACCCGCCTTCATTTTTTTTTCACGTGCAATCACGCATGCAACAAGATACAGGCACAAAGTATTCACTACTGAAATTATTAGTTACGTCTGGCTCAAGGCCATAATTACAAAAAAAGAGTAAACACATGGTATGAGATTGAGTCGTAAATAATTTCCGCTTTTGTTTATAAACTTTATTCTTAAAAAGAAACAAAACAAATAAAAATGAAGAAATGTACAATTATATTTTATTCAGATACAGATCCACCAATATTTGTAATGACTTGTTGACATTTATCAGGCAGCTCTTCGATAGCTTTCGAGTAAAAAATCCGCAGGTTTTGAAGAAAAAAGGTTTTCTAAGAAATTTTGAATCTAGGTTTAAAAAAAAAGGTAAGTTTTCCTCCTCAAAGTGTTTTGTAGCGACCAAAAGAAGCTAATAACGGGTTCAAGTTAATATGGCGTTTGAAGAAGAAAAGATCAACCGAATTCAAAATTATTTCCTTATGTTATCCTTTCTGTACACAGCCTTGCATTGCCATAGGAAACAACAACATTTTCCCTTAATCCTCTCTGTACGCTGTCACTGCCGTGCAAAAACAATGGTATTTTAGTGTACTCCAAATTTAATCTTAACTGTCAATTATGATTAATAGGCATTAATTGTTTGAGTCGTTTTCTACGGTTTATCAACCCTTTGCAGGTTATTTAAAGCCAGAAAATATTTTTAAATTGAAAGATTTTTTTTTCGTGGAAAGAGATAATAATGGTTTAATGATAAGTCTTACTAATGGCTGGGAGAGAAGAGGTGGATTCGTTCGGGTATTTACGCATATAAGTAAATATAACAAAACGAGAATTGGAACTCGGTTCTTTAAACTCCAATTCCGAGCCTTTATCCATTTCACTACCTGCGCAAACAAGCTTACAGCACCCGGTATTCCCAAGCGGTCACCCATCTAGTTTCGACGTTGCTTAACTTTGGTAATCGTAAGGGATGTTGCCGTAAGCCGATTAATAGTTAAGTTGATACATTTGTCATTACATTCGTCATTACAGTCGGTTACCAAAAACGGAAATGACTTATGACTCAAGCTAATAGTAACTTTTATAGAGACTAGTTCATTTTGTCTGACATATGGTTAAAGTTATTAGAGGCTTTACTATTAAAGACAAATCAACGATGACGATGATTCGAACTCTGATCTCAGTTCTAACGATTCAGCCACGTTCATAGTGTTCTGTCCTTGATGTAAAACTTTTCAGGCGAAAGCAAGCAAAAACCAGTTTTGATGATTTTTCTTGAGGCTAAAAAGGCAACTCTGAGTTACTGGTTTAGCAGGTAAAACAAAGCTGAAGATTCAGGCTAAATGTTGGCATCTGTTTATGAAATATACAATGAGTAGGTGTCAAGAAGAGAGACCACAGGTAAACAATTTTCTTTGGTCGTCTGTCCAGTTGAAGTTCTCTTATACGACTTATGTTAGCGGTATTTTAAGTCAAATCTGAAAACTGTTCCATCAAGTAGATTATACAATGGGATATGCTTTCTTAGGCGTAATTTGAACACTTTTTTTCTCTCCAAAAATCAAAAATAAAAGTAACTGACTGACTTCTCACATGATTGACAAGGGTTATAAAAAATAATGATTACCTCCTGCTAATTTTGACATGAACTATAACACAATGAACTGACTAACCTCTTTCAAGGTTGACAAAAGGTGTTAAAATAATGAGTTGACTAGTCCCTGTCAAGGTTGGCAAGAGGTGTTAAATGTATTACTGGACTCCGTCTACATTTTTTTTTGGCGGGGAGCAAACATAGACCATCTTGCTCGCAAAATAACGAAGTGTCAAAAAAGGACTGTTCCACCGCTGTTATAATAACTACCTTTACACCTCATCAGTGTTCATTGTTTTAAAATGAATTTATACATTTTTTTTTGTCCTAGTGAATTTAAAACAAAAATATTAAACTAATTTTTTATTAGATTGTTTATTTATAGGAAGGATTTTATATTTACAACATTCTAAAAATTAATATAACTATAGTATTGCATTTGTTTTAATTATCATTTACCAATTTATAAAGAAATGGCTATGAAAACCAATTTTTTATTCATAAATTTATAAATATTTACTAAATTATTAAAATATGAGAAACCACCTATAAGTAAATCCTTATTTACCCTTTTATAAAGTTCGAATTAATCGTCAATTAATATTACCAGCGTGAGATTAAGGCTTGTTTATTTAAGCTTTAAATATAGAGAGATCAGTTATAGCGGATTAATATTTGATGATTAGATATCGTAAGCTATTTCTTCTTTATCTTCTTCATGTGTCGTGTCGTTTCATGACGTAGGCAATCATGGCTCTCCAAAATTTCCTGTCCTTCTTAATAAATTTTGTCTTTTCTCCTAAACTCTGTTTCGCCATCCTATTTACCCAAGTTAATTATGTTATGCGTTGTTTTCCTCTATCTCACTTTCCCTCAATCCATCCTGTGAGTATCAGCTTTTCGAAGCCCTTCATCCTCATTAGGTGCTCCAGAAATTTCAGCCATATTTTCCTGATGCTAAGTATTAGTTTCTATTTTGTTCCCATTTTCTCTAAAAACCCTCGTCTTTGCTCACAGTGTTCTTAAATACGGACATCGTTTTAGAAACTGGACACACACCCAAACGCAATGCACACTCAAGTATAAGCGTCCAGTAAGCTAGAGAATTTTTAAGCCCTAAGTTGAGAAAGGTTTCCTTTGTTCATTAATTGTGGGTTTGTCATAATGTTTTTTTTTTCAAATCGAAATTTTACGAAATAGTTGATTCAATTCTTGTTCTATATCAGATTTGCATCGATATTCAGAAAAATGGTGCGTGTATAATTGTTTTAAATTAATATTTTTAAGTAAGAGAAAAAACAAACAAAATAAAAAGAAGTGGCCATCATTTTTTTTTATTTTTTAATCACTGCTTAAAGAAGGTTCGCCTGAGAACACATCCGACTGAGTGAATATATGTAACTGTTCACAATACTTATCATGCGTAGGTGTCAAGACACAGAGGTTGGATATGTCACTCTGACCAAACACATTTTAGTCATGCGACTTTTATAAGTATTCATTTATGGCGAGAATAATAATGATAATAAAAAATCTCTGCAGGGTATTTTCTTTCTTTTTTCTCTCTTCCATTTCTCTTTCAAGTTCTTTGATATGCCTTTCTACACTTCTTTCTATTTATCTTTCTTTTTATTCCTTTTCTTTATTCTTTTACTTTTTTTCTTTTCCTCCTTTTTTCTTTTTTCTTTTCTTTTTTCTTTTCCTTTTTTCTTTTTTTCTTTTACTTCTTTTTTTCTTTTACTTCTTTTTTTCTTTTACTTCTTTTTTTCTTTTCCTCCTTTTTTCTTTTTTTCGTTTCTTTTTTCTTTTACTTCTTTTTTCTTTTACTTCTTTTTTCTTTTACTTCTTTTTTCTTTTACTTCTTTTTTCTTTTCTTTTTTGCCCCTTTCTTTTTTCTTTTCTTTTTCTTCCCTTTTCTTGTCTTTTTCCTTTTCCTCTTTTTTCGATTTTCTTTTCTTTTTAATTTTTCTCTCTTTCTTTTTCTTTACTTTGCTCTTTCTTCAGTTACTTTTTCTCTTTTCTTCATCTCTTTTACTTTTTATTTTTCTATTTTCTTTTTCTTTTCTTTTTTTCCTTCTATTTTTCTTTTCTTTTTTTCCTTCTATTTTTCTTTTCTTTTTTTCCTTCTATTTTTCTTTTCTTTTTTTCCTTCTATTTTTCTTTTCTTTTTCTTTTCTTCTTTTCTTTACTTCGTCTTTCTTTATCTTTCCTTCGTTTTATTCTTCTTGAGTAAGCCATTATTTTTTCTGCTTCAATCAGTTGAATGAAGATGAAGAGGACCGTGGTATAAATTCATATACAATATCAACAGTCTATTAAGCATGACACCGCACATATCTAAACAATTTGCAAAGGAATTCTTTAATAAAGACATTAACAGTATAGCAGACTGGGTCGTCGCAGCGTTGGGTAATGGTTAGGGAACGCGTCTGGTTTACTGCTGCCACTGTGTGCCTGGCCATGCATAGTCTAAATGAGATAAAAAAAAATGAGAGAGAGAGAGACCTGTTGATATATTTGATAAATATTTAACATAAAGTAAGGAAACAACAAGTATCACTAATAAAAATTATAGAAAGTCTTCTACCGAAACAAATCACTGATTTCTACTGAGCTATCTCTCTCCCTCTCTCTCTCTCTCTCTCTCTCTCTCTCTCTCTCTCTCTCTCTCATCTACACCTATTCAAAATATTGGAAAGAGTGTGAACGGAACGATAGGCGTACCTATAGTGCGAACAAAGTTAACACTGTATATATGACTAGCAATTTCATGCTTTAAGCAATCATCAGTACAGACCGGCACCACCCTTAGAAGGGGGAGTACTTTTTTTTTAATTACATTTCTCAAATGTGTGACGTAATTCACGCTGTTTAAAACAACACAGGTCGTCTAGTCAAACATGGTGTCTACAAAATAACGTTTGTAATAGTAGAACTAATATATACATGGGGACGGAATTCAAAATAGTATGCATAAACTTTGAGTTGTAGTCATTAAATTTAATTGAACATTTTACTTCTGTTGCCTCAAGCCTCTTCTTCATCTGAGAGGAATTATTATTATTATTATTATTGTTTTTATTTCCTTTGATATCTGGAGTGTACACATTTCTTTCTGGGGCCCGCCTAGAGACCTAAGTTTAGAATGGAATCATGACACTTTCCATTGATATATATATATATATATATATATATATATATATATATAATTATTTATTTAAAAATATGATTCCAAATCGCGACATAAGAAGTCCCATGTTTCAAAACAAGAGCCGAAAACTTCAATATAATTATTTAAATTATTTAAATTAAATTGAGTTAAAATAAGCTCTGTTCCATCTTCAAGCGAAATTTTTTTTTGGAATAACGTGTTTCTGAAATTTACGTGTTTTAAAAATTGAAATCAAAATTTCCATGGTAACAGCTAGGGCGAATTGTTTAAGTTGGGTAGGCGGGTGTTGGGTGTTAATAATAAGTATCAGTATAGAGTTACTTTCGTAGATGTCAAGTCAGTGAAAGGTGGGTGTGTCTAAATTTGAAACGGAAGATGTATTAACCCTCGTCTAGTTTGCATGTCTATGGAGATTTATTTATTTTTTTATTTTATTTTTTTATGAAAGGGATTTTTGTGCATATAAAAAAAAAACAAACAAACAAAAACTGTCGTAACGTTTGTTTTTTGACGACTTCGTAAAGGGTTATCTTTTTTTAGGGTATTTAATCTATTTATTTCGGCTATGGATTATGAAGGGTGTTATATTGTATGCATGTTTTTAGTTAATTATTCAAATCATGAATCTGATGAGTGGGCTATGGACTAAACAAGTTATTATATTGTATGCTAGTTTTTAGCTAATAGTTCAAACCAAAAATCTGATGATGTCTACAAAAACCGTTAACTCGTGTCTATTGTTTAATAGATTATTATTATTTAGAAGCTTAATTATGTGCAATTTCTCATGGAGGCATAAAGGGCATGGGTCATGCCAGGTTTTACATGTTCTAGCCTTGTTAATAATTTTCCATTTAACTTTAGGTGTCCTATTTGTTTCCTTCAAATGCCAAAAATATTTAGATAGGGGAAGTCTGATTTCTTTTGTTTATATTATTGAAAGAACACTTATGCTGCCTCCATCTATCTTTATCTATATATATATATATATATATAGATAGATAAAGCCCTTCGTAAAGTGTGGGCTGTATTTGTGTGAACAATTTTTTCTATTTCTTTGAGGCATGGGCTTCCAGGAATCCCTTCAATTAGTCTACTGGAATATTTTACAACCAATCCTAGGGCTCCAACTACAACAGGGATTGTTGATGTTCCCATATGCCACATTTTCGAGATTTCTATTTCAAAGCCCTTGTATTTTGACAGCTTTTTGAATATCTTCAAAGATACATTGCAGTCTGCAGGGACTGCCATATCAATAAGGAGGCACTTTATTATTATTATTATTATTATACTATATGCCTTTCTAGCAGCATACTTGACTGTTATATTTACAACGTTTCGGCTGTTGTGGCCTCCAGTTTTCTTCAGGTGGTTACTTTGGACAATACGTTTGAACATATGTTTTCTATTTGTATTGCTAACCCAACGTTTTGGTCGAAATAAGCCTTATTCATATGTTAAGAAAGGGTCTTTTTTTAACAGTACAAAGAAAAGGGCGAAAAATCTGCTGTCTAAGCCCGCTTTCGACTTTGTGTTCTAGAAATTTCAAGTAAAACTGTCTCTTTCCCCATTTTCCTTAAAACTTTCCCATTACTCATATTTTCTGTCCATGTTTTTTTCAAAAAACCTTCAGTCGAAACAAATCCCGCTTGTCTCAATCATCTCTTAAACTGTGAGGAAATTGTCCAGCATTCACTGGGTATACAGTACGGAAATACCAGTTCAAATATCGAAGTTAAGCAACGTTGAGTCTGGTCGGTACTTAAATAGTTGATCGCTTGGTAATACCAGATGCTCTAAGCTTGGATGTGCGGGTGGTGTAATGGATAATGACTCGGAATTGTTAATCAGAGTCGAGTTCCAATTCCTGTTGAGTTCGTTATATTGACTTACGCTGAAATACCATTGGGAAAGGTATGAACCCATGTTTTCTCCTCCCGGCTATGGGTTAATTAGTAAGACTTGCGTCACTAAATCATTATATTAGAAAGGGAAAATATTACAATCTAGTACTATTTTCCGGTTTTAAATAATCAGCAAAGGGTTGATAAGTCGTAGAAAATGAATCATTCGATCAATGAAAATATTCACTGTCATATAGGTTGTTTAATATTACATGGCAATCATCACGTTATAAAACTCTTTTCCTTATTTCTAACAAAAGGTTTTGTCTTTTGATACTTTGCTTAGCTTTTGAAAGACATCTTTCCTTATGCCAATGCGTCTTCGGATTTCGGTGTCATAATTTCTGTCGTCTTGTTTGATTTTAACATTAGTAAAAGCTTAGTAAACCAACCTTTCAAACTTAAGAGTCTGTGTCTTCCTTTCTTACTGGTTGAACTATGAAATCCCGTTTGGAGAGAATTTCATGAATCATTGCTGAAAATAAAAATATATAAGAGGTCGTTCAATAGTAGCCACTTAACTTCAGTAGAAAATTCATGGTCCATTTACAACAATGCTTCCATCTATTTGAAGACTACAGCAACGTTCTGTAATAAACGAATTTAGAGGCCATTATATACCTTGCTATTTATATTGCACGGCTATTATATGACTTGCTTTTTCAGTATTACCAGGGATCGAAATCCCAATAACCAGGGAATAAGATATGCTTTCTATAAGGATTTAATCCAAATCTGTTTAGCTGTTAGTTGTAAGAACAAGTCCTGGTTTAGTAGCGCTGAAAACTCGCCTATAAATGGCTTACTGGAAGAAACGGCTGAGCAACATAAGGACGAATAAGACTGGTAAACATCACCTGATACGAGACATCCCTTAAGCATGGAAAACAAAAAAAAAAAATAAAAAAAAATAAATGTATAATGTTCTTTAACGTACCGAATAAAGTATTCGGTTCAAAGTTACGATAAGGTTATCCAGTACGGTAATAAACATCTGAAGTTAACTGAAACTTTGTAAGTTTAACAGGCAAAAACGCTGTTAGGAAGCCATTTTCTTCTTCTTCGTCTTCTTCTTCTAATGATAATAATAATACCACCACTTTGTCTCTTCTCTCAGAAGAAGAAAAGACTTGAGACAATATAAATGTGATTCTCAAAAAAGGATTCTGAGAATACCATGGATTGGACATCTGAATAAATAGGAAGTTTTAAGGAAAATGAAAACAAAAAGGACGTTTATACATAGAATCACAGACAGTTGAAACTTTTATCCATATAATGAGGAAAGAGGTCTGGGGAAATTTGACATTAATGGGAAATACTGAAAGATCGATGAAAGCAGCGAGTAACCTACGTCAAGAGTTTGTGTAAATGGCTGACAGAACGAGATCTGGTAGAGATGATTAAAAGACACACCTAACTAAGAACAATAAAAGATGTGGAAATCCATGATCGTTTATGGCCTGAAGGCACAATGTGCAAATAAAAAGAAAACGTAGTAGAAAAAGAAAAACAAAATATTAGGAAGTCAGCACATACGTTACACCTTTTTAATACTGTGAGTGTTCCCAGTCCCCAATTTCTTGGTATAGCAGCAGCCAACAGAATAAACACAAAATAAACAAAGTTGTATAGACAGTATTTACATTAGTCGGACTATTGTCCTCATCTTTGTCGCCATATTTGTCACAACGTTTCGGCCGTTGTACGCTCCGGCCTTCTTCAGGTGGTTGGAATTTCGAACTGAACCCTTTATTTCGATCACTGGGGTAGACTATTCTAGAACAGTCTACCCCAGTGTTCTAGAACGTTGTGACAAATATGGCGACAAAGATGAGGACAATAGTCCGACTAATGTAAATACTGTACATAATACTTCATCTCAGAAATATAGACAGACTCTAAAGTTGTATAGTTGTTGCTAGAAGTAAAGGTACGAAAACAAGTTTGGTGCTACGTACCAAATTATTTCACCACCTGCTATGATCATAGATAAATAATAGACAATTCCGTATTGATTGCGCGAATAGACGGAAAAATATCTCAGAGGATGTTTGGTGTTAGTGAGAAAAATAAAATATACATAAGAAATTTGTCAACAAATTCACTAAGCTGTCTGTTGATGAGTTCTGCCGTGCATCAGTAGCCAACAGTTAGGTTTAAGTTTTAGCTTCCAGTTCTAAACTCAAAATTGTCCCACGTTAGCTTGTGAATTTCGTGGCATAGTAGTTGTGAGTTCAATCCCTGGGCCGCGCACTATGTACTTGGACTCTGTAGCAATTATTGAGCAGTATTAAATAAGAAGGAGATGTGATATCCCTACACATGAGCAGTGTAACGAGAACAATATACCCCAATAGATTAAATGAAGATTTCAATTTGAAATTCCCTCTTGGTTACTCAGATGGACATGCACCTAATGAAGGCTGGAGGGCGCAGCGACCGATACGTTTTGGTAACAGCAATAAGGTGGGGACAATAGTTCACGTGCAAATAATGTAAATAATCTTACAGGCTATTACTTGTGCAATGAATTCAATTTTCCTTCCACCCTCATTGCCTTCTGCCAGACCAAGGTAAACGTTGCAAATGTTGACACGATTTCAAACTACACCTTTGTCCGAGAAGAAACAATTAAATTAAATTTTCGATTAGGCTTTCTTTTTTTTTTTTTTTTTGACATTTGTTGGCGCTGTAAACCTCATATGATAAAAAATACCTCTAAGACAATATTATCAGTGGATTAATTAACCTAATCGTCTGTGGAAATTACGACCAATAAGGTTATGTCCACTGTAAATCATCTTTTAAGTTTTTTTGTTTTTATTAGATGAGTCAGGGTAACTATCCCTAACCCAACATGGAAGCAATTTAGTCGGACAACAAAATAAAAAGAGGAGAAGGGGGGCGACCTCTAAGCCGTTAACTTGAAAATGACGAAAGTCTATTTCTATGAGCCCAGTCATTTCTAAACAAAAAAGCGTTTTTCAAATGTCATGGTTACTCGACAGCGATAAACCTCACCGGACACACAACGCCTATGACCTTTTGACTTTTCCCTTCTTATACCACTTGGATTAAGATAAATAAAAACGGGCGTATTGACGAGGAACTGGAGAACTGAATCTTAAAGTAAAGAAAAAAAATGGTAGTAAGGAGTGGCCTATTCGGAAATGGTAAAAATGCCGAAAAGACAAGCCGTTTGTGGAATGTTAGCGAGAGGAATAAGTGCTTAAACTTCCAGTTGCTTGAGTTCATCTTCTACGAGTGGCCCTAAGTGACATTATTAAGATCCCTGCTAACTCATAAGTTGTCTTTGCAAAAACGAGCGTTGTACCTTTCGTTTAAATACAATGTGTCTCACAAATATATACACATTTTGAAGCTTTAATTCAAGCAACTAGAGCCATCTTTATCTAATTTAAATAAAACACATGATCACAGTATTTATTATAAAAGCATTCTCTTAAGATTTTGTCATCGTATGTTTTCGACTTGATGTCCATTATGATCGAGACATTGCTGATAAGATGTTCGCAATGGAACCACAAGCAGCAATCAATATTTAGATAAGTTTCTTGAACTTCTGCGTGAAAATTTTCCATCGCTCTTTCTTGCTTCACAGGTGGATATCCGTGGTCTTTCGGAACTGTACTTGTGTCCATAGTGTACAGTACCATCAGCTTCAAATCTATTTCCAATTTGTGAGATTGTACGTTACGTGGGTTGAACTGTATGAAACGCTCTTCGCTACCGCCTTTGAACTTCAAAAATGCATTTTCATACTTCCAGTTGCATTTCAGAATGAACTTTGTTCAAAGCTAAGCCTGGATGGCATTAGTAATACTCATGTGTAAATCGGAAAAGAAAGCGACTTATCTATCCACTGTAAAAGTGTCTATACAAGTTTTGAGAAATACTGAATATTACGTCTTTCACAGGCAATGTTTTAAATCATATAAGAAAATTATTAACCTGTTGAATCGATATTAGTTTCTTTGTAGTGAGCTCTTTATTGGATGACCAGCATTTTGACCTTCTACTAAAATTAGCCAAGTTTAATTAATATTACTAACCTATTTAACGTGGGGCGATATCCTACAAGCGAGGCTTGCAGACGACTGTAGTACGTTTAATCTTCATTGGGTGCTCCAACAGTATTAGCCTTGTACAAAGAAAAGACTTGCTTTTTTTTTTAAGTTCACAGTGAAGACATTTAATTCTGTCCGTATTCCAATTATAAAGAGAAATTCCAAAACCTGTTTCATTCCAAAGAATCGCTGCATTATGGAACATAACCCGAAGTTTATTCTCCACCCCCGAACACTCCAATCTTAACTTCTTAAAGTCAAGATTAGTCGTTATCTATTCTCCTTTCCCTCACTTCATATTTCTTTATTTTACATTACCTCACTCTGTAATCCTGCATATCGAGTGGCTCTTGAGCCTTGCATTGGGTAAACATTAATAAAAAAGAATAAAATACAACAGCATCGTAAATATTAATGAAAACTAAAAGAAAAACAATGGCTTGCAAGCAAGGCGCAAGCACGTACACACATCTCCACACACACACAAAAGCATACACATGCACATATAGGCACAAATATATAGATGCATACACATACACACAGACACTCAAATACACATGCACACGCATACATAGACATGCACATATACATAGAGGGGATTTACGGCCACATCGCGTTGAAACGCCGGTTCCTGTACGATTCCCAAAGTTAAGCAACGCCGAGTTTGGTCAGTAACTAGATGGGTGACAGCTTGGAAATACCAGGTGCTGTAAGCTTGGATGTGCGGGTGGTGTAATGGATCAGAATTGTTAATCGGAGAGCCGAGTTTCAATTCCCGATATGTTCGTTATATTCACTTACGCGTAAATACTTTGAGGAAAGGTATGAGTCTACCTATTCTCCACCACGTATGGATTAATTAGTAAGACTTTTAACACTGAAACATTATCTTCTAAAAAAAAGAATAAAAATTCTTACAATCTAGTTTTTTTTTTCTTCTGACATTACATAACTTTTAAAGGGTTGATAAACCGTAAAAAATGACTGAATGAGTGAATCAATCAACACAAACACACACATGGAGAGGGAGAAAAATAAATACAAATTAGTGAAAAAATGTTGTAAATGTTTCACATTTGATCCTATGAAAAAATATATAGTATTTTGCTTTCGGGTATATTTTTACGACTCGCTTTAAAAAAAAACAAAAAAAAACGGATAGACCAAGACATTTTTTTTTTTTTTTTAAAGCGAGTCGTAAAAATATACCCGAAAGCAAAATACTATATATTTTTTTACAGGATCAAAAGTGAAACATTTACAGTTGTTTTACAATTACACATCCCCTTTTCAGGAACCAATAAAACTGTCAAAATGACCAAGGGAATTCAGAGCAGCAAGAATAAATCCAGCTCTTATCTTAAATAACAACTTAAAATAGACTGTTTTAGCAACACAAGGACTGACTAAAATTCATGTTAAAAAACAAATAAAAAAAAACAAATGAAAACTACAGGCAAAAGTTCATTTTCTCTTTCAAAACATTGATTTCTGTAGTTCACTGTTACCAGCAAGCGGATTTTTTTTTTCTCCTGATGATGGCCATGTTGGCCGAAACTAATCGAGGAATCTAACTGAAATAATAAAAACGAAAGAAGATTTTAAGTTTTTAATATTTTTTATTGTTCTGTATATATATATATATATATATATATATATATATATATATATATATATATATATATATATATTCCTCTTCATTTTGATAGATAGACAAATACGAGAATATCAAGACACATGGAGAGATATGAACATATATACGTGACGTGACTGCCAGAAATGCAGAAAATGGAAGAAAGAAATGTTCTGCGTGTATTTAACCAGATCACTCTGTTTATATCTGTAGGTGTGTACGCATATTTCTAAGTGTGTCACATTTCGTAGGTGTGTCCCCATTCTTGAGGAGAAAGAAAATGAACATGTCCACCTTGAATGCTTGTGCCACATGGTGTCTTTAGTTCGACGTCTTCAAAGACAAAGGACTTCCCTGGAATGAAGCGCTCAGTCACATGAGACTGGTGGGAAAAAATATTTCTCTTCTATTTAAAATTATATATGATAATTACTTAAAGAACTGCAACAACAGGAATAGCCAATGAACTGGAGGTGTGTCCCATTTTTGGTCACTAACGACGGAGATGGGAGTTTCCTCGCTAATATTCTCTTACTGATTTAACGGCATAGGTTGTTCTGATCTAGATTCATTTTGCGGTATGTCAAAATGTAATTCTGGAAAAAATTTGTCTATATATATTAGGCGTGGGCAACAGTTGCAAGTGCCCTCTTTTTTTTTCTTTTGAAATCTAGAGACTAAATAAACAGTAGAAAACCATTAAAAAAACACGAAAAAATTGCTGGAAACTTGATGTACGCGAATATGAGGGGGTTCTCAAAAGTTCTTAATTCGAAGTCCTAGCTTTGAATAAATGACTAAAGCAGATTTATTTAGGGAAGGGCACCATAGTTGGGCAAAGGACTCTCTCTCTCTCTCTCTCTCTCTCCCACATATATATATATATATATATATATATATGAATAAACCATCGTTTTTGTCATATGAGGGTGCAGCAACTTAGTTCTTAGATTATAGTGGTGAAGGCATGTTCAGGACAACCGGATAGAGAGAACTATAGAGAGGTCTACAAACGTTCCTCCTCACGTTCCGAATTCATACGTGTCCTTTTCCTAGACTGGTTGCCAACCAGGTTTGAAGAGCCCAGTCTACTCTACTATTTAGCCCATAGCCCGCGGGAGGAAAAAGATATATATATATTCATTTCATATCTTTATATATATATATATATAAACATCACTGGGATTCGAACTGGGATCTCCAACTTCTCATTCCGATCCGTTATCCATTACACCACCCGCACATCCAAAGCAAGAAAGAAAGTTCGAACTGGGTTCTAAAAATATATATATATATATATATATATATATATATATACACACACACACACACTATCAAATACTTATCGGGAAGGGCTTCAAAGTGTAATGTGTCCATGCATGTATGCATAAATCTGTTTATGTGCGCATATATATATATATATATATATATATATATATATATAATCTGTGTATTAGCCTGCGGATATATATGTATATGTGTAATTGTCTGCAAATATATATATAATTTTACACACTCAAATCTCGCTTTGGAGGCACGGTGGAGTAATGGATAGTGGCTTGGATTGAGACCTGAGTTCGAACTCGAGTTCGTTACATGCACTTATTTGAAAATACCCTTGGGAAAGGTGTGAATACATCTCTTCTCCGCTCAACTGTAGGTAAATAGCGGGACAGCTCCTTTCGCATTGTTTGGCAACCGGTGTAGGAGAAGGTCAACTCTGAATTCAAATCCTTAAGCGGGTACTTTTGGTACCTTGTGGTACACTATGTATTTGGCTCTTCCAAAACGTTGGTTCTGAACAATCCTTTACCACTATAATCAAATTATATGTGTGAATAGTCTGGTTGTTCGATTCTAAGAACTCTGTTAGTGCACTCTCATACGTCGAAATATGTATGTGGGTCTGTGTGTGGCGATTTAATTGAAGGTCACAGGCGTGTGAAATACGGCACAGTTAGTTGGATCCTTGTGCTTGTAGCATATTGGCATTTACAATTTGATAAATTCTAATGGGCCATGGTTGACTGATTCTTAGACATGACGCAATTGTCTGTTGACCTTCTCAGCTAATAGGTAATCAAAATAGTATTTCACTATGAAAAGTAAACCACTTACGTTGGAATGATAACCACCACCTTGTCTGGAATTTGTACATACATACATGCAAGTGTGTACACTATTATTACGATGAAACTGTCTGTCCGTAATTTTCTATCTTTAGAATTCTTAATATGTATTTTATGAAATATTTGAAGCTCTGACGCAGGGAGATTCAGATATATCCAATTTGATATTTATATCATAGTGAAAAACAACTTGACAATGATTTCAAATGACTTAATATAGCTATTCCTCACTTAGCGATGTACCTGTTTAACTTACAACCAAGTAGAGAATCACATTAAATAAAAGTCTAAATAACGTATAAATTAGTTTTAGATTTATTTGTCTACAAGACACATTAATCTGATATATACAGGATTCAATCCTCACATAACGAATTACATGTTCAACGACCTCCTGAATTTCGACCAATTATAAAAATTCTCATTAAAAAAAAATTGCGACTAGTCGGTATTGTAAGGTGTACGGAAACACTTTTTTTTTTATTTTAATGCATCACAGTTAATAAAATTAATAAAGTAAACAAAACAGACAAATATTTACTTGTATTCTACTTATAGTATGCAAACTGAAGTAATCTACAGAATATTGAGCTGGTTTTCGAATTTCTTTATTACGTTTGCCGTTAGGATAGGAAATGTTCATCAGAAACAAAGAAAAGTGTGCTGAACTGCTATCTAGAACTATCAATCTACCTGTATGGCAGTGAAGGCTGTACAATCACCTCACAGGTGAAGAATCGACTTGAAGCAACAAATGTTCTACAGAAGGATACTGAGAATACTGAGAATACTGTAAACGGAGACCGTAAGCAACGAGGAACTTTTAAGGAAAATAGAAACAAAATGGACTCCTTTACTCAGAATCATAAAGAGACAGCTGAATTTTTTAATAAAAAATGAGGAAAGACGGCCCGAAGAATCTGACACTCACAGGTCATACTGAAGGCAAGAAAAGCAAAGGAGAGCAGTGAATAAACTGCCTAACGGGTTTGTGTACATGGTTAACAGGAATTAACAGTGATCGCAAAAAGACAAACACTACTGAGAGCTACGAAGTACAGGACGTTGTGAAGCACCATGATCGTCCACGGAAAACAGCATATAGAAGAAGTTACTAGCATACTATATAAACATTTAGGAACAAATTAGATATGTTACAAATGATGTAAACGTAATATTAAAGCTATCTAAAGCTGATTGACACAGACCCATTACATGAAATTAACGGTTAACTTCTCACTTAACGATTAATTTGTTTAGCGAGCAGGCTGTTTGAACTTAACCCAGTCATTAAGCGAGGTGCTGCTATATTAGCATTTTGGGGGTTAAGATCAACTTATATATATATATACGCGAGGATGTATAAATGTTCCCAAAATAATAAATGTCAATGGCTTTATAGACTATAGAAAATCGGTTGGGTTGAGAAATTTTCACTACCCCATCGTAAGACGCCCCTGATGTAGTACGGAATTTTGCCGCTAAAATTTGCAGTCAGTACCTTTTTTGTCAGTCAGTTATGCGCTATGAGAGATACACGCTTAGACGATCATGTATTTTTTGATACATGGCTGACGATTTTTTCCCGCAGTAGGTTGCCATTTCTTTCTGCGGTAGACCAGTTACCAGAACTCGATCTTTCCTGCTTTTTACCCATAACTACGGAGAAAAGAAGAGGATTAATACCTTTCCCAAGGATATTAGCACGTAAGTGAATGTAATGGATTCGACTGGAATTCGAACTCGGCTCTTCGATTCCTCAATCCGGGCCGCTATCTATTACGCCACCAAACAAAATATTAAAACAAAAACTGGAACATTTCATTAGAAGCAAAGAAAAGAGTGCTGAATTGCTATGTAATGCCAGTCGTCATTATAGCAGTGAAGGCTGATTAATTTACTCGCAGATGAAGCGATATTTAAGGCAATAGAGATTGGTTTCTAAAGAGAATACTGAGAATATACTGGACAGCGCATGTGTGTAACGGGCAAGTTTTAAGGCAAATGGAAACTAAAAGACATATACTTAGAATCAGAAAGAGTTGGAATTTCTAGGACACATAAAGAGGAAAGCAGGTTTGATGAATTTGACGCTGTCAGGTTATAGTGAAGATAAGTAATGCCTTCAACATGTATAGACTATTTTCTTCGTGTTTCCTGATTTCGTTTTTGGTAAATTTTATTTTAATTTGATCAGCTATGTCACATGAAACCAAATTCGCAAATATCTTCATTTCTTCATTATTTTTTTTTTCATTAAGACTAACATAATTGAATCAAATTCTCTTTTTATTCAATGAGAAAAGTCAACTTGTCTGCGTTGTTGCGACTAATGTTGATAAAGCACGTGTTAAAGACATAAAAAAAAATCAAGCTCCGATATATGGCTGATTGTATCCGAGAATGCCTCTTTGCTCTGGTGACTAGTTAACCCTTGTTGCAGAGACCTACTCAAACCATCCAGCGTTTCTCCAACGCCCATAGAGCCAGCCTGTGGTTCAGACAAACTATGCTCAGCGTACCTTACTTAGAAGGCAGTCCCCACCTTGGACGATTTAAAAGATAGTTCGCGCAGCAGATTGGTTGTTACAAACATCCAATCGGGTGTGTGGAAAACGTGGTCTTTCTTCGTCTAATTCATTAAAAAGCCAGTTTAATTGCGAGAGGGAATCAGGGATTGATCTCCCTTGATTTGGGTCGACTTGGTGATGGGGTGTATGATGTTGAAAGACCCGAAACTCCCTGATGAACCAAATCAAATTACATCATGACGATCCCTTCCGACGCCTACTTAAGAGCGTATTTTTGAATTACAGATCTGGTTTTTAAGAATGGTTTGCGTCTATTCCCATTGAGTTATTCAAATGGAACGAACGCTAGATTTGACAGCTTGACTTTTTAAAAAGAAATATATATAGTTTTAAGGTATTTTATATTTATGTGTAAAACTCTTTAATATCTGGGATAGGGCGTATGTAAGTATAAAAGCAGACAGAGCGGTCGGCCATATTATTTTCATGCTTAAACGCAACCTTCAAGCCATGAAGATTGCGTTCAAGTATGCAACAGACTGTCGTCGTTCAGCTTTGACCTCAGTCTCTACTTATTTATACACAAAAATGTACATATAAAGTAATACTGGCTTGTTATCTGTACAATTAACAACTTTTATCTGTGAAATTTTTTATCTATACGATGAAATGTATTGTTAAATATGTGCAAGATATCTGCCTTTTAAATTGTTAAAAATAAAAATAAAAATATTCAAAACAAAGCTGACAAGAAACAAAAGAATTAAAAAGCACTTTATTAGTAACGTCATCTCTTTTATGAATGCGTTATTCGCTTATTGACGTTTGGTAATGCCTCTTGTTACCAAACACATTGGTAGCTATCCATTACAAACAACAGGCTTGTGTGTAAGTATATTGTGTTTTATTATAAAATAAATATTTGTATGACAATTCTATGGTAAAGGCGTCTGTTTTATATCCAGATAATCGGTAAGCTCCTATATTGTGAGAAATGAGGGAGAATAAGTGAAGTTTACAGATATGGGGAGATCTGTCAAAGCGCTACAAATATAGTTGGTAATATATCGTATTTCTGAAAATACAAGATACTTGATAGGGGTCATCTGAGGATACGAAGACCCTGCGATTGGCCATCGAATCGGCCATCGTAGAAAAGGAAAAGAAGGACGTGACGGATTTGTATACGTTTTCATTCGTCCGTGAATGAATAAATCAGCAAAGAGGGGGATACTGAAGAGATCTACTTGCTTAAAAAAGAAAAACAAAGAAGGAATTTCTCTTCACAAAATCTTTTAGTAAGAATTTTTGTCACTTAGCGAAAACACGCGGTCTAAGACGTCGTGCCAATAACGGGCAAAGTCCGTCTCATTCACTGATATGATGTACGGATAGGATAATGAATAGCGGCACGGCATGAGAAATCGGAGAGCCGAGTTAGAATTCCAACCAAACTCAGTACATTCGATTATGCGCAAATACCCTTACGAAAGATATAAATCCACATCTTCGTCTCTCATCTCCAGCTATGGGTAAAACAGTAGGAATTGTATCTGGAAAAATCATTATCTCCAAAATATTATTCATGCAATATTACCTCGAAAAAAGAAAAGAATAATTATTACAATCGCCAAAATACGTTTAGACATTAAATAGCCCACAAAGGATTGATAAAAAAAATCGATCGTTAAAAAAAACTTTAATGATATGCAATCAGTCAAATTTCTCTACAAAGGGCAATAAAAGCTGATAATATGGCTCTCTTCCTCAGTGCGTGTCCGTCCTCATCTTTATCTCTCTCATATATATATACATACACATATATATATATATATATATATATATATATATATATATATATATAGTTGGATTGATAAGAGTTTGTGACCCTGCGTTTCACGCTATTTGTGATCGTCAGACAAACTCTCTCTCTCTTTCTCTCTCTCATATATATATATATATATATATATATATATATATATATATATAGTTTTAAAGTATGCTATATTTATGGATTAAAGTGCTCAATATTAAGAAAAAAGCGTATGCAAATATAAAAGTGGACATTAAGGTCAGCACACAACGGAGACAGTCTGTTTCATGCTTAAACGCAATATTCAGCCCGATTCTGAATCTGATTATGAAACTGTGGCCTCGGATTGTTGACTTCAATGTCCACTTACATATAGCTAGATAGATAGATATAGATTATTGTATGTGTGTATACATATATATATAAATATATTAAGTTAAATTTAAGATGAATAAATGTGAATGTACTTAAGTATGTATCTATATATACATATGTGTATATATTTCCATAGACGAGTACTTTTCTGCATATATGAATACACTTGTCTATGCGTCTCAGCTTCTACTTTTGTCAAACAAATTACTTATTGTCGTCTCTTGAACTGACATGCAAATCGGCCTGGCCTATATAGAGCACGTTTCGCAGCTTTTTGTCGACCAACGACGGAATAAAAGGCAATGGCCGCGTATTTACTATCTCAACTAATCAACAGTCACCGGCGGCGCCTACACACTTATTTGCAGTAATAGTCGACACCTCTTCCCAAGCGAGAGCATCAATTCTTTTCGGTCTGAGACCAATCCCCGCATTTTACGACAGAATTAATAGCTTACATGTAATTATCATTTCAAATTAAGCACACACACACACACACACACATATATGTTTAACTTCTATATATATATATTTTAAATCATTTCACCCGTAAGCAAGGCAATAAAGCCACTCAGATGCAAGAGGTTATTGAGTGTTAGAGAATATAAGTAAAAAACTTTATTAAAGAGAGCATTAACAGAACACATATTAAGACAGAAGATAATGATTGACATTGCATTTAAATTATATATGATGAACATGGATACAATATATTGACTGTGTTTTGAACATAAAACATTCTATAATGCTAAATACATGCATGCAACAATCTATTTCCAGTTAACAGTAAATATAATTCATCTTTGAGAATGGTTAAATGTATAGCCGAAAGCGCTTGGGAAAAAAAAAAGCGCTTGGGAAAAAAATAAAATCATTTGAAATTATATAAACCAACTTAATAAACGCTTGTGTGAAAGAAGGATTGCTGCCTAAATACACAATATATATATGTATGTTATATATATATATTTATAGTTTGCAGCAGAATTACCTCCCAGAAATGACCCCACCCCAGATTATGATAAGACATTGGCTAGATGAAGTCACCATTTCCGTTAATGTCTTATGATAATGTGGGAGCTATTTCTGACGCACTCTGTATAATGATAGCATTTAACTAATATATATTGTATAATAAAACAAGGGCGCTATAAGAACTGTGTTCTATGTAAAATATATAAACAAAGCCAATATAATATGTATAAAAAACGATCGTTTTTTTAGATTGTCTCTGTCTATATATAATTTTATGTTTTACATCGAGCACTGTTCTTATAGAGCCTTTATTTGTTTTATTGTAAATATGTATGCTCCTTAATTGGTTAATCGTTATTGCACAGTCGTTTATTTATATTTCTCAAATATACGAGGTCTGTTAGAAAAGTAACGGTACTGGGTTTGCTATGTGGGCTATAAGCGTAAGCGGGAAATAAGGGGATTGTGTTATCACCTAACATATGATATCTTGGGGCTATATAAATGTGATTTTAGCTTTCTGCAACTATTTTTTTTTTCACATGCTAGAGTTGTGACAGGAAAACTCGTGTTTGCTTCCCCTACGGCAATGCACCTGCTCACAATGTAATTAGCATCCGGCCAAGAAGAAAAAAAACATTGCTTTACTGGAACAAGCTCCTTATTCCGGTTATTTTTACTCTGGCAAGAGGATCATAAAGAGGACCCGTTTTGAGGGCGTGAAGACCATCAAGAGGGTCGTAACGACGGAGTTAAGGGACACACCCAAGAAGAATCCTTCCGGTAATGCATAGAAGCGAGACAGAGAATGATGGCAAAGTGCATTAGGCTCGAATGGAAAACTATGTAGTGGGTCGTCTGAGATTTAAATAAATTCTTTGTGACAGCAGTCCTGTTACTTTTCAGACAGACCTCTTATCTATCTATCTATCTATCTATCTATCTATCTATCTATCTATCTATCTATCTATCTAATGTCATCCATAGACAGGCTGTTTCACAGCTCATCAGTGTGGCTAGACATCCGATTGCCTCAAGCCGAGATCGAAACACGACTGATTTGGCATCAGTCGGAGATTTTACTCCTATTGGCGCACGGTAGGGATGGAGGTGAATTTAGACATATTTCGTCTTGCAGCAGTCTATTAAGTCACTTATATAATCATCATGAAGACCAACAGTCTTCAGCAGTCATCAGACCATATAGAAGTGACAATTATTCTACAGTGCTGATCTCTATGCCTACACATTTGTTGTCCCAGATACGGAACATTCTTATTTAATAAATATAGCAAATTTTAAACTTTTAATCTATATATGAATTTACATGGACACAATATATTGACTGTGTTTTGAAAATAAAATATGTTTTATATATATATATATATATATATATATATATATATATATATATATATATATAAATACATAGTTTCATGTTATATGCAATCGTCAGGCCTGACGATTGCATATAGCATGAAACAGACTGTCGCTCTAAGTGTTGACTTCTATGTTCACTTTTATATATTTACACGCTCTATCTCTGATATTGAGCACTTTATTCCATAAATATAGCATATCTTAAGACTATATTTCTTTGTTATATATATATATATATATAACAATGTCAAATATATACAAAAATCCATTTTCAGTTAACAGTAAATATAATTCATCATTCATTTGGAGAGTTTTTGCGTAATTTATGTACGGAAAAAAAAAAAATTAAATCATATGAAAATTATATAGAAAACATAAAGCATCTTGTCTCTCATATATAATGAAGCTTGCACGAAAGGATTGCTGTCCAAATACACAACATATATAATACATAATATAGTTTGAAGTCACCATTTCCGTTAATGTCTTACTATAATGTGGGAACTATTTCTGACGCACACTGTATAATAATAGTATTTAACTAATATTTATTGTATAATAAAACGAGGGCGCTATAAGAACAGTGACTGATGTAAAATATAAAAAAAATATAATATACCCAATATAATTACCTTGGTTCACAGTTGATAGGGTTTAAAGCTATTGGTATAAGAAGGCTACGCCTTATCGGAACATACGAAAAAACATGAAAATTACGCAATTGCTCAATGTTTTGAAAAAAAGAGCAATCTAAGATCGAATTAAATTATAGCAATAAGTCAGCTAGAATTATTTCGCCTATTGGTTCATCTGGCTGTGAATGTCAAAGATCGATCCGAAATGCAAAAGTATACCAGCTGGTGAGTTGGTATAAATTATCGTAACTAATATATATATATATATATATATATATATATATATATATATATATATTCCAGTAGAAATCCTTCTTTAATACATGTTTTATTAAAGACTGGCAAAGAATTGCTCTAATATTTGTTGAGGCCAAGCGCTTTATAAATTAGACGAAAGCGATTCGAAGATTGGAATCAACGAAAATTTGGACAGTTCCTATATCCATTATGTTCAAAAGTGAAAATCGCGTAAAAGACGTTTAATATATCTATTCAGTCTTGTTTAACATATATCCACGAGAGACACACAGCGCGAGCTTATGTATGTATCTGTATATACAGCGCATATAAATTATATGTGTGTGCGTGTGTATGATGGACAGGACACGTGAGAATGGGGGGTAACAGGATTCCCAAACAATTTTTCTAAGCGGGGCTGGAGACAGGAAAACGGCCAGATCACAAGTCTATGAAGAGGTTTGAAGATAATCTGAATGCATTATACATGAATGTGCGACAATGGGAAGAACTGATTGTAACTTGTACTGAGTGGAGACTCTTTATAATGGAGGGAGCAATGGCTTTGAGGATGAGCATATCAGTCTGACTTAGATCAAGAGTGATCTACGAACAAGCCCTCACTCTCATTTGCCAACTAAGGTTTTCTTGGAAATGTGTGTGTGTGTGTGTGTGTGTGTGAGAGAGAGAGAGCATACTCTTGTCGAGGGCAGGTTATTTTACCAACTAGAAGGTCACCATCAGTCAAGGATACAGTGTTTATCTGTCTGATATCTATGAAATCGATATATATATATATATATATATATATATATATATATATATATATATTGTTGTGGTACGATCCACCTAATTTACATAGTGGAGTACCGACCATATAAATATGGGTTGGTACCGGGAAGACGGGGAAGTAACAAGAGGTCCAATCCAGAGACTCTGCCCGACTGCGATTATGTCAACCCATTCTACAGGAACAGTCTTCCCAAGAATATACCAAAACTAACTGTAAATATTGTGTACCTTTTCCTTGTTTCAATACATTTTGTTTACGTACATTTTGTGTTGTATTATTATTATTCCATGCTTATCCAAGCTTCAATATATATATATATATATATATATATATATATATAATATAAGTGTGTGTGTCGTGTGTGTATTTATATTAGTTCATCATGCATTTGGTGAAATAACCTTTTCTAAAAGAGACAAAAGACTCAAGCTCATGTCAAGTCACAAAAGAAATCAACATAAATCAACAGACTTTCATTCAATTTAGAAACAAATATATTAAATGTATTTATCAATAAAAAAAACCCAGTCAAAACATGTCACAAGCTGACGTTTGGTGAGCTGATATTTTTGGAAACCTTCAAGTTTCGTCACAAGCTGACACGTGGTGACACAATATTTGAAAACTATCGCGTTAAAACAGTTATATTTCTGGATACTTTCTTATATTATTATAGTATCAAGAAATTCTTTGAAAATGGTTTACGGAATCACTTAGAAAATATTAAACACTTCATATTCAGCCACAGACTGGAAAGAACGTTTTCCGTCTGCCATCCCCATGGCTAATGATAAATTACAAAAGAGGAACACTTTGCGCCTTCTTAGTTCCACGTTTTCCACTGGCAGTGGGGTGTTTACTTTAAACCAATTTCTAGGTCTGCTATTAAGAAATTGGTTCTTCATCTGTCTATATTTCAGAGATGAGGTATTGTAATTATTTACATTGTTCCGACTGTTGTCCTCATCTTTGTCATATTCACGACGTTTTGGCCGTTGTTTTTCAGGTGATATAATTTGAAATTTCGAACTGAACCCTTTATTTAATCCACGGTGGTAGATTATTCTAGTTCCACGTGCCATGCTCTTTCTGGATATCTCAGTTTCAGTTAATTCCCTTTAGGAAGTCAAACAAGTTTTTGTTCACCTCTGCTATGGCCTGGTATTGAACTCACAGAACATTGGATCAAGTCACTGGATAACTTCAACCGATGCTTTTACCCACTAGGCCATGCGTTGTGACACTAAAGATGAGGACAACAGTCCGAACAATAGTGTAAATAATTGGTTCTTCTTCCACATTTATAAATCTACAATTCGACCGTACAGTGAATACAGCGGCAATATTTGGTCTAGTGCTCGAAATTCTAGACTCAGTTCAAAGAAGGATCTGTAGTATAATCTATCCTGACCTGGATTCACGACTTCGTTGTGACATGGTTTCCCTCTGTCTTTTCTAATAATATTTTCATGGCGATTGTTCTGATGAGCTGTTCTACTTAGCGCTTCGACTGTATGAATTTAAGCGTGCTACTAGATTGGCAATTAGGTTCAACCGTTTTTCTGTTGAACTAGCTCGATGAAACCGTCAGATCTATTCTTATAGTATTTTTTCTCGCACTTCTCGCTTGTAGAACTCTATTCCGATTTCTTGCTTCCTTGCCAATTACAGCGACAATTGCCTGTTTTTTGTGTTCCTCGTGGCATTATCACCTTGCTTGGGATGAAATAGTTAATACGTAGAAAAATTCTCAGAATAAGAAGAACGAATGAATAAGAAAATTATTCACAATAGCCTTTACTAGGTCATTAATCAGACTTGTCTGATACATGATGGCTGTCGACTTGCTAAACGAGAATGACTGCTCTTAAATCATAAAGACATGTATTTCACTGACAATTTCATTCTAATTTTACACGAAATATTACATATATGTTTCACAAAAAATACTTTAGATTATATACAAACTAAATGAATATGTAGAAATTGAAATATTACGATACAAATAAATATGAATTATTGTTACAGATTAAAATATTGAAGAAAAAAAAACATCAGTGAAATATATATATATATGACTAATATATTGTCTGATCTACAAGGAATCTTAAACCCTGCAAAGAATTTGTACTTTTTTCCCCAGAGAAAACTATTATTGCTTTGATTGCTTATTAGATTATTACGCATTATTGTAAATTTTCACGTTTAGCTAATCTGGACGAATTTCTACATAAGTTATCAAAAATTTGGAAGGATAAATCTAGAGGAATTCGTTTCCTATAGTCAGTTAGAGGCTGGTTACGTTAGCTTTTTGAGGGGCAGACATAGCTACAATTATAACAAAAAAAATGTATATTGTCATTATTTATCGGCAGTCACTTTCTTGGGACCCTTTTTTGCTTTGGCTGACTGCGTCTGTTTTCTTCAAACAGCATTACTCTCTCCTAAATATGCCTCTCTCTTTTAATCGGACACTAGCATCTGTATATTAATTATCCTGATTGGTTTTAACAGCTGTCAGTGACTTGTCTATTGAATCCTGAAAACGTGCGTTTGGTTTATACTGTGACCTTTGAACTCCTTTTATCTGCTGTTTTGGTATGCTCTTATCAACATCTCTGATCAAATAACCGGTCTACATATATAATAGCTGTCTCATCGTTTTGGGGCATGCCAGTCTTCTAGGGTGGCTAGTTATTCCTTGTTGCAGACACTCGCTCAGGTACAATTATGTTTCTTCATCACCCACAAAGCCAACATGTGGTATATGCAATAACTAAGCTAATTAATTAATTAGCATAGTTGTTAATTAATTAGTCCGTTGCAGTTTCATAACTCGATTCTGCGTGTCTCATTCCATAGGAATCGCAGAGGAATGTCAAGAAATCAAGTGTGTGAGTCACTTCCTGGCAAATTGGTGTCCTCTTTAAACAAATTCACGCCATCGGCAATTTCTTCTGGTTTGATTTTCTTTCACCTTCAACCAACTCTTGTAAAGCAAAACGACGATAGGGAATGGATGACGTGGGCAGGTTTTGGTGAAACTGGTAGCTTCTAGTCCTGAACATGCACGTTGGCGGTGAATGTAGTCCTGAACACTATCATCATAAAGAAAGCGATCATCAAAGAAGAAATTACATTTTTGGATACGAGATAAAACTGAAGACGATGCTAATTAAAGTGAGACTCTGTCACATTTTCCCGGACAAAGCGCATAATCTGGGGTGGTAAGAAATTTAACAAGGTCGAATCGCTCATACCTTAAGTAAAGATGACCCTTGTGCTGTCATAACCATCAATGACCCCCGTATAGATTCGTCAGCCCTAGCTTCATTGAACAATGCTTGAGTCATTCAGTGGTTTGCTTTTTAGGCACTTCTCAACGACGCCTTACTCTGAGACTGATCTTATAAAGAAGTCAGCTCCTTGACAAATGACCATGGGAAGATTCGATCCAGGGTTTCATGGTCATAATGCGAAAGTTCTAACCACAGACATTGTGTTTCTCTATGTGCAGTTAAAGATTATTGCGCTCAGGTTTAGAAAAGGCACACGTTTTGAAGTCGTCTATCGTCCTGCTGTTACTCGAAGAAAAATATATCCCGGATGACAATTCTCTCTACTTACCACCAATTACACATAGCGTTGAAATCGATATATGGCGATTTAAGGAGTTTACGACAGTTGGACAATTTTTAAGCAGCGTAAATGTTCACATTGTGTCATAATGGTACACGGCAATATTACCCATGGGCAAATGAGGGCAGAACACGTTATCAAGGATATTTGCTATAACCCATGTTAATTCACCAAGATAAAACGTGTACATGTTAGCACCTCCAATAAATTTACATCATAAGCCACGAGAGCCATTCAAGGTGTAGTAAAATATTATTTATTATAGTTATTATTATTAGTAGTAGTATTTGTATATTCACACAGTTTAAACGTTATTGACTTGTTTTCCTTTATTGGATATCAGGCTACTTTTGGAAGCTTTAGGGAGTCAATATTTTTCTGACTGTTCATGGTGTGTCAGTGAACTTTCAACGAATGGGCTAAATTCTCGGACACTTATGCTAAGGTTCTGAGAACAATAAGCACGATCTCAACCTTTTGGTAATTCCATATTCTTTTGATATCATACGCCTGCATAGTTCTCAATTTTCTGTCCTTCTTCCTCAATTATTCTCGTATCAAATCGTCAAGCAACATCAATAAAGTAACAAACTCAGCTATACTTGCTGAGAACAATTCCATCCGGCCACAAATGTTCAATGACTTTGTCCTTTTTAATCTTCATATCGCATAAAATATTGACTTAGGTCATCTTCAATGCTTATTCTCCGGTTTATTATTCCATAAAACCCTTCATATTGGTGCCATGCTTGGTGCCAAACTCTTTCCCAAATATCTAAACTATCAGTTGTATACAACCGCTTTCTCAAATCAATATTTAAAAATGACTTCGAACGATTGAAGCATGAATGTTTTAGAGAATACAATTCTTCTTCGTAACCCATGGTTTGGCGTTACAAAGCCCCAAGGAACTGTACATAAAAACCATATCACTTGAAGACCTTCAACAGCAGCAACAACTAAAGCTCTCTTGAGGATTCTAACCTTCAGGTCAACTTTAATCTTCAAAAATATAAATTCAGTGTTAAGCGTTCTTCTGTTTTCTTAATTCCAGTTCTTTTATTGTCCTTTCATATTTTTCTCGTATTCTCTAACAATCCGTAACCCTTTGCGTCTTAGTGGCCTTATTGCCTTGCTTGAAATGGAAGAACTTGATATTTTTTAAAGTACTAATTTATTTGCTAGTATTAGATGCCATATGTAAATCGAAGAGAAAATAATGGCATAATAAGACGTCAGGGTTTCACCTTCAAACAAAAATTTTGGATAGAATAATGAAAAGAGCATAACAATTAATAGACTTGAGAACCCAGTTTTCCAGAAGAAAATGTTTCCAACTGAAAATAGCACTGACTGATCGATCAATGAATTGACAATTGTTTCCTTCTAAGGAAACTGCTAATTAACATTATTTCTAATTGTTCAAATCCATTTTTTCTCAAGCGTACAATGTAAAATCGACAGTACGTTGTTATGTCTTAAATTATGCAAAACTTCTGTGCGAGTATGAGGCATTCTGATACAGCACGGGCAATCTTCTTCTTATTATTCTTCTTCTTTTTCTTTTTCTTCTTTTTCTTCTTTTTCTTTTTCTTCTTCTTCTTCTTTTTCTTTTCCTTCTTCTTTTTCTTTTTCTTCTTCTTTTTCTTTTTCTTCTTCTTCTTCTTCTTTCTATTCTTCTTCTTCTTTTTATTCTTCTTTTTCTTCTTCTTTTTCTTTTTCTTCTTCTTTTTCTTTTTCTTCTTCTTTTTCTTTTTCTTCATATTTTTCTTCGTTTTCATATTTTTCTTCTTCATATTCTTTCTTTCTTCTTCTTCCTGTTGTTGTTGTTGTTCTTCTTCGTATTCTTTTGCTTCTCCTTCTTCATATTCTTTTTTTCTTCTTCTTCCTGTTCTTCTTCTTCCTGTTGTTCTTTTTCCTGTTGTTGTTGTTGTTGTTGTTGTTGTTGTTCTTCTTCTTCTTCTTCTTCTTCTTCTTCTTCTTCCTGTTGTTGTTGTTGTTGTTGTTGTTGTTCTTCTTCTTCTTCTTCTTCCTGTTGTTGTTCTTCTTCTTCTTCTTCTTCTTCTTCCTGTTGTTGTTGTTCTGATTCTTTTTATTCTTCTTCTGATTCTTTTTATTATATTACATAATTAACAAATTGTATATTTTTCTTCTATTTTTAGGAAAATCCCGTCGCCAATTTGTCACCGTGACGAAACTGAAAATCGGCCATTCATCATGGTACCCACTAAGCACGACTATTTGGCACGTTGCCGTGCAGGCATTGCCAGATACAAATTCTTTGACCAGGCCCCAACCCCTGAATTGTTGAGGGAGGCCCAGTTGAAGTGTGGAGAACTCAGACTCCCGATCCCACGTAATGAAAAAGGAGATATCTTACCTTACCCTTCGCCCAAAAGCAAGGCAGATATATTCAATTTGGAACAATACAAGGAAATTGACAACCATGCTCTTCAGGTAAGTTCTTTGTTTCGATCTCGAATTTGCTTCACATGTGATGCTCTTTAGTGCACGATACACTTTTTTTTTTATTGCGATTAATATTGACACTATCAAAGCAGATCATCTTTCATGAATTAGAAATTATGTGAACAGTTCAGTGAAAATTGAGCTGATATCTAATGACTTGAAAGAATAACAAATTGATACTGTTTTAAAAGTCACACGCATCTGTGCCCACATGCAGGCGACAGGGTGCGCATCTGTGTTTGTCTTCAACATCTAAGCAGGCACATTGGTTTTCAAAAGAATCTTCTTTAACATGAGAATCGTGGGGCTATCATACTACTCCTGTTTCATTCCTTTGATTCCGGTCTTTTTTTTTTATATAAGTATGATATCTGGTTCTCGGAACTTGGAAGAAAGCATATTGTTCTCAATCATTGCTTTTTTGTTATGGTAAGCATCTTTCTCAGAGATAATAACTCTCAAACGTTTTCCGCTCATCTATTGTCCTGATGCTACCATTCTTTTGCTTCACCAAGCCTAGAAGAGGCCATAACTAACTCGTTCAAATATTCCATGATACTAGTGAAGCAAACAAATTTTGATGTAGGATAATCTATTTTTTATCTATGAGGATATAATCCACAAATGTTAGGACTTTATCCGGAAAAAAACAAGCAAAAAACAACAGTAAAACAAAAATGTAAAAACAAACGAACAAAAACGATTGGATAATAGTTCATTATCTTAAATAGGGAGTCAGATCGTTTATAGAAAATCTTCCACTTTTAAAAAAAAAAAATTATTTTACGATCCAAAAATATCCAAGACACAGTAACTAGTCATAAACTGACTTGTCAATAACTCAGTTAATAGGTTTTTGACGGGCAGCATTCGAATATTTCTGACTGTATGAACCATCCGCCAAGGACATTTTTTTCTCTCAAAATATTCATATCCTTTCCCAAGGTATGAATTCTCTTCTTCCCACAGCTATGGGTAAATAGCAGGGCAGACTGGGTTCTATAACCTTGGATGGCAACTGGTCTACTCAGAAAGAAATGACAACCTAATAGGGGGGATCTGCCTCGTCAGTCAGGTATCGAAAGATACATTATCGGCTAAGCGTGTATCACATAACTGATTCATCAATGCAAACTTCCATCAGAATGGCTGATGCTAAACTCCAGGAACGTGATTCACTGCAACTTCTCGGAATAATGTTTTCCGCTGACGTGAAGTGTAAACATTATATTGAATCAGTTGATACGTTTGCCACTACAATACATATTTGCAGGTCTACCACTCGTCCTTGCTTTGAATACTGTGACCACAACTGGCTTGGTGCTCCTGCTATGTATTTAGAGATTCTTGATAAAATTCAAAAGAAAAATTGGCATTGTTATTGTTCCTGACCTGACATCTGCCTTCATTTACTTTCCCGCTGCCCTGTGTCTTTTCTGTAAATATTTTCATGGTAATTCTTTTGATGATCCTTCCTTTATTGAACCTAGACTTTATGAATTGAAGGTCAGTACTAGATTGGCGGCAAGGTCTCATCATTTTACAGTTGAAATTGATGCAACTGCAAGTTCTGTGCTAACAGTTTCTTCTATCACATTTCTCGCTTGTGGAAATCTGCTTGGGTTTTTTGCTTTCCAGTCAACATCGATCATAAAATTTTTTATATGCAATATCAATCATTATCGACTGTCTTAATTTCTGTTCTTTTATTTTTCTCTCTTCTAAATAGTTTTTGGCCTCATGTTCTCTAAAACTCAGTAAACCCTTGCATCTTAGGGATTTTATTGGCTTGCTTGGAGTGAAATGATTAAAAAAGTGTATCTTTTTTCTGAATTTATATCCACCCTGGACACCAGTAGCTTTTAAAGAAGCAGTGTGTAATTGCAATTCTATATAAATATATATATAATATATATATATATATATATATATATATATATATATATATATATAACCAACTTATTTACTAGTGGGCGGTAGGGTCAGAAGATTGCCTACCGAACAATTTGATTTGAACTGCTTTGTCGTAAAGTATACTAGGTGTGACAAATTAATTGCTGAAATGACTGCAGCATATCTCTAGGGTAATGAGTCAGGCAAACATTTGCACCCTAACACGCCCGTACATGATCTAGCTTGCAATTTCTTTTAAATGTTGACCAGATATTTAGTCCGTTGCCGAGTAGCAGAGGAAGTTTTATGTGTTCATTATACTGTTGGCGATAAATGAATGGAAGGAGTCTGAAGCAATGGATTAACATCAAATTTTGCGTAAAGATTGGTAAAAATGCTCGTGAAATATTAACCTTATTCAAATGACATGGTGAACACGCTATAAAGAAAGTGTTTTTGAGTGGCCCAAGCTGTTAAGTAAGAACTTGCACAATGACAACAGAAGTGAGCAGCCAAAAAGAAAAAATGCAAATATGGGCAGAGTGCGTGCTTTGGTGAACTCAAACCGATAGCGATTGATAGCAAAAGTGTAGAATGAAAATAAACTCATTAGAGCTGACGAAAGTATCTCTACCGTAAAAGTTCGTAAAGGCCGTGGTAATACCTGCAGTTTAGTGCAGTCTTTTGGTTACCTAAAGTTCTGTGCAAAGTAGATTTCCAGAGTGCTGACAGTCTTCGTGAAAGAGCAGTGTGTGGTTGATGCCCAAGATATTCTTGAGCCCTGACGTGGCACCCCCAGACATACATTCGTTTCGATCCATGTAGGAAACTACATCCGGCAGCAAAACTTCTGATCGGGAGGTTTTGAAGAGCGCCAAACCCCCACATAATTGCTGTTGTTCCTAAGTCAGTCTTGACCCGGGGTGGTAGCACCAGTTAGGGTCCTAGCTATGGGCAAATAGTGAACCCCCAAACAAGAACAAAAGAATATGAAATTATAAAAATACATTTTTATAGTTAAATGACTAATAGATTTTTTAAAGTAAAGTAGCCAGCAATATATTTTATATTAGAAATACCAGCAAAACCCTTTATAGCAAAACTACCAAACTATTTTCTATGTAGTTGAAGGCAGACAATTACGTTCAAATATATTTCGTTGAAGCCATAAAAGTGTGTTCCGTATATATAGATTTCGGCATTAAATAATCCATATAAATTGATATACCATTAAACAAAATCAACCAAACTAGCAATATGAAAGTAGTCTTTCATGACATTAAGCCATATATCCTACAGATTCTTAAAGAAATCAAACCATATTCCAAAATATAACTTTAACAAAACTACAACATAGAGCACACATATCACCACCTTTATTAATTATGTCTACACAAACATGTATATGCACAAAAGCTGAGTATCATCTACCATGTATACAATTAGCATAACAGAATAACATGTATCGTATTTTTATTAGTCCAAAGCTCCCCCCAAAAAATGAAATTTCGGAATCAAATTTTCCATAAGGACTTGATATGCCGTTAAACAAACAAATCAATCAAATCAACCCATGTAAGAAAATTCACAGAGGACGATGATTCAGTGAAGGAGGCAACACCCTCATGAATAAAAAAAAAGGAGCGAGAAGCTTTTATGAAGTAGATAAATATGACTTCCATTAAATATGTTTGAGATGGAAAGCGTAACGGACTAGATTCATTATGCTGAAGATTTGTGCTTATTTTAGCATGATGTTACTATTAAATAAGTTGTAATTGAAGACGAACCCATAATGTATAATGCATATATAGTAATATCAACTATTTCCTTATAAGGAAACATTCAGCATTATTTGAGCAAGTAACCAGCGCCACAGTCAGTTAAAATTTATAAATTCTTTCAAAATATTTTCCCCGGAAATAACTATTATTGCTCTTTCCAATATTGAAGGGAGTTTACTTCCAAAGCTTTTGTTCGAGATGGTGTGGAGCGCCGACATCTTAATTATGTCGATATTTTCACTTTGTGCTACATGTGCTATGCATGTTAATTGTTGCGGCTGTTGAAAGTCCTCAAATGACGTGGTTTGTTGTTTGGTACAGTTTTTGTTTTTGTTAGTGATTCTGTAGCGGCAGTCCACGAGGTTCTAAGAAGGACTACATGCAGGTTTCATTCACTGAAAGACATTTTTTAATTAGGGATCTGAGAAAGCGTGTGTATACAGTTGACAATTTGTATATTTCTGAACGGGTTGGGGAGTTATGCCTGACATCCAAAAGAAATTCTCTCTCAATCTGACGAGGCTAATTAAGAACATGATTGGATTTCTTAGACCAATGTCATATATATATATATATATATATATATATATATATATGAATATATAAAATATATATATATATATATATATATATATATATATATATATATATATATATGAAGAAATATAGTTTTAAGGTGTGCTATATTTATAAGATAGAGCGTATGTAAATATTAAAGCGAACATTGAAGTGGGCATCAAGACAGGCTGTTTCATGCTAGACGCAATGTCGATTGCGTTCAGCATGAAACAGCCTGTCACCTTCTGAGTGTTGACTTAATGTTCACTTATATATATATATATATATTAAACATTTTTGGCCTGTCATATTGAATGTAACATGTTTAAAGAAAAGGTTGCTGCCCAAATATTTTCTATCTCTCTCATATATATATATATATATATATATATATATATGTGTGTGTGTGTGTGTGAGAGAGAGAGAGTGTCAAAAGTAGCGTCCAGTATTTGAAATGTCATATTTGTCATACTGATTGTTTATTCTAAGTTAATTCATTTTACGTTTGTTTCATCACTGGCTTCATGAAAAATATACTCTCTCAGTAAGTGGATCGGACGCCGTGGTTCGATTTGGTAGCTTGTACTCTCCCCGAAACCCCACACTTCCTGATTTCTTTCTTAGGGGGAGGGTGGCTTATGAAAAACGTTGTTTATCGTGAAATGCCTCACACCGCTCAGAAATTGAAAACTAAAATCCCTGAAAAGTTCACAAAAGACTGGTATAGAAATTAGTGTGTGCTGCTCTTTACCT